GATCTCCACACACACACACACACACACACACACACACACACACACACACTCATGTATCCACTATTAATTACAGCCTAAAATACATAAAAGACATACAAGTTTAAACATTTATAAACACATAAATCCTGATATATGTTACGTGTATGGATGTGAGCTCATACATACAAATGCTCACCTGCAGATATGCACAGAATCACACCCCCACACTACTCACCATGATTTCATCCTGAAGTGTAAAAGCCACAGAGAGAAGGAGGAAGGGACGAAAGAGAGCAAAGAAGAAAACACTCAGAGGAAACTCAAGGCAACAAAATGACAGATACTAAAACATATAGAGCTGATAAGAAGAAGAAGAAGAAGAAGAAAAAGAGAGTAAAATAAAAATATGCTAAAAGTAGAAGAAGAATGCACAGGAAGCGCTTCAAAACACTTTAAAAAAGCAACGTCATCCAAAAGCTGTTACCGAACCATAAATATGTAGCCATTACACTTAAATATTCAGTTACTGTACTGTGTTGTTGTTTTTTAATTAGAAGGCTTTCTATTGGGTGGAAAGGTGATAACTGTTGTTGTCTTTAAAGCTTTAAACCGCAGGAGCTATCATGGTTTTTCACCAAAAGGACAAGCTGTTTCGTGACCACACAAGTGTTGTCCATTATTGTGTAACGTGTACAAGAGCAGCACAGGGTTGTGGCATTGTATAACTAATGGGCTGTTGCCCACTGTAACCATAGACCGTATAGCCGTGCAACATTTACCATGAGCGAAAACACAAGAGCTGAGTGCTAACAGAGCTAAGCCTTAGGGTAAAACTTTATAAAGTTCAGCTGGCATGTTGCTTGCCAACAGACAAAACATATTTGGAGGAGTGGAATCATCGTGTTACAGCAGCTGAAAGAGGCCTGGAGTGAACAGCACAGCTCTGCAAGAGTACAGACAGCGTGCCTGCCTGTTAGTGATCGGAGTACCTGATTGCCGGCTGCTTTCTTCTTGCTCATCTGGTTGATCCTCTGCTGGGCACTGCACAACAAAACATGCGATACTGTACTTTGACCTTAAGTAGTAAAGACTTTCCACTGTAGCGGCAGCAGATTTCTAAACTTACTTGGCAAATCCGATGAAGTCCTCATGGTTAGTGTTCATATAGGACAGCTCAATATCTATCAACAGCAACACCTGAACAGAGAGAGTAAAACAGTCAGTTTTATACTTATATATCATATTTTGGAGCCCTGGTCCCCAGCTTTCATTTTGTAATTCAGCCGCACTCAATGAATTAAATCTGAGGTACTTTCTATGTATCATTGAATCTGAATAATCTTTATTATCACTATACACACAGAGCAATGCAACATCACAAAACTGGTTTCTTGGAGTTTGCCTTTTTTAAACTTCTTTCTCGTAACAGTGTGTGTGTGTGTGTGTGTGTGTGTGTGTGTGTGTGCATTTACACGGAAATGTTTGGAAAGGTCATAGCGTTCAGTGAAAATTATAGGGGAACGAGGCAGCACAGAGGTTACACTGTCACCTCACAGCATGAAGTTCCTGATTCAAAACCCAGATGGGAAGTTTCCATGTTCTTCCTGTTCCTACATGGGCTTCATTAGAGTGCTCTGGCTAGGTCAACTCACTCAAAAGCCACTGCATTAGGTACACCCTTTCATTTAATTCAGTCATGGTCAAGACCTATTCACGTTCAAAATGAGCCTCAGAATAAGAAAGAAAGGTGATTGAAGTTATTCTGAATCTGGCATGGTTGTTGCTAGATGGGCCGGTCTGAGTATTTCAAAAACTGCTGATCTGCTGGGATTTTCCCACACAACCATCTCTAGGGTTTTATGGAGAATGGTTCAAAAAAGAGAAAATGAGCAGCAATTCACTGGCTAAAAATGCCTTGCTGGTTCTCGAGGTCAGAGGATAATGGTCAAACTGCTTCAAGCTGATAGGAAAGCAACCGAGGTATGCAGAAGAGCATCTCTTAATGCACAACTTATCAAACCTTGAAGCAGATGGGCTTCAGCAGTAGACCACATCGGCTGCCACTGATCATTATATATACATCATAGAAACTATGAGCACTGTTGGTGACTATGTCGATCCCTTTATGACCACAGAGCACGGAGCAGTGATTATGGATATGCAGCTGACAAACCTGCAGCATCTGTGTAATACTATCATATCAAAATGGACCAAAATCTCAGAAGAGTGTTTCCAGCATGTTAGTAAATCTCTGCTACACACAATAAAGGCAGTTCTGATGGAAAACTGGGTCTTGAACAATACGAGCAAGGTGCAACTAATAAAGTGGCTGGTGGGTGTATATTGGGCGTATGTGACTTAGGTAAAGTGTTTAGATTAAAGCGCTGTATGAATTCATGGTTAAATGTGACTTGTAGTCTTAAGCACTGTGATTGGTCAATAAGTACAATTAAACTGATATACTTTAAGAAAAACTATTTCAGCAGGAAGTGAGTAAGAACAAACTGTTAAAAGCCCCTGCTTCTTTGCAGAAATACTTTCTACATTACAAATTATTATATTCTCCATAAAAAATGAATATGAAATAAGATTAAAGCACTAAATAGGAGCAGCTTGTAACTGAAAATGGTTTGCAGACATGGAAATCTTGAGATAATGGACCACTAGTTGGAAACAGACCAGTAAAAAGATCTCACAGCTGCCTTCATGAAAGCAAAATATCACAACTTTAAGAGACAACAAAGCACTTTCCTTCCTAAGACATCATGATGCGGTTATTATATAGAACAATGACAAATTCCAGCACACACCAGGATGCACACTGATTTAAACCAGGACAAAACAATTCATCCATATCATTGTTTTACACAAACGTACCACACCATCACAACCCCCCCACACACTTTACACCGTACACACTGTTTGTCTGCTTTACCTGTCCTTTAGTGCGGCTTTCTCTGTCTCTGATGTGCTGAGTGACAATTCTCTCCATCTCCTCCCTCAGCATGGGGTACTGAGCCAGCTGTGAGCACAGAAAACGGTAGGTAAGTAGCCCAAAAAACAAACACAGATCCCAACACATGCACACACTGTCACACGTCAATGTACAAGATTCAGTAAACAAATTTAAAAAAAAAAAAAGATCTCACAGAACCACAGCACACAGTTCCACAACACAACAAAATACAGAAACACAATTAAACACGGTATGTTTGAGGGGGTCTGGGTTTATCGCAGACTCAGCTCTAGTCACTGCTCACCCTGAGTGGGTGTTGACTTGTGTTAGATTAAATAATACGTGCCAAATGTGTATTCGTTCCCACCGTGTAACAAATGCAAGAGAATAGAGCAAAGTCTGTGATTTTTCTTCTTTTTCACCACAAACACAGAATAAACAATGTTCCTGGCAGAAAAAGCTTTCTTTTTCCCAGCACACTGTGGGTCTTTTTCCATGAGCTCATTGCAAAACCCACGAACGCAGACGCTGGTGGGTCTCCAAAGTGACACAAACACATTTGGAGAAGTGTGAGGAAAGAGAGAAAAGCAAAAAAAAAAAAATCAAATAATCGCAGCACGAGAAAGAAAGGCTTTCGTGCAAGTTACAGTGCATCTTTGGAGGGTTAGTGAGTAGGTACCGATTGGCCTTTTTCGTTGTTTGGGAGCTTATTTAGCGCCTTCCAGGTCTGATCCACTGACAGAGCAGATGACACCGATAAAGAAGAAACACTTTAAATAATTTTTGCCAGTATTTGAATTAAATAAGTGACTTTTTCAGGTCCTACTGCCAATAATAATGAGGCTTTTCAACATCACACAGCATACACTGCATATTTAAAGTTTTAGAGGACCGAGGGTGCATATCTGAAGCATATCTCCCAATCAGAATGTTGATTTTATTTAGAAGGCACACACAACTAACAACGGCATCACTGTGCCGTTACGAATGGAGACTGTTTGAACGAGAAGCATTTCATGTTCTTGTACCAAATAGCGAAAAGTTACGTGCGCCATATGGAAGCAGATAATTTATGCAGGTAGAAAGATGCAACGCAACTTGACGACAGACACGGTCTGTCAAAATCTGCTGCTGCAGTCAGTGACTTCAGAACTGACACTGAAAAAAAAAAACAGTGGAGAGAAGAGATTCAGGCTGGCATGCAATGCAAAGAAGCAGGGAAAGGGTGGAGGGTGGGGGACGGGGAGGTGTGGGAAGACTTCAAACTGACCCCCTTTGTGGATTTTCCCAAACACTGGGTATTATGTTACAGTATCTTTTTGATACAGTGAAATAACTGCAAAAGCGTGACAGTGAAGAGAAATCCAAAGGAGGCGGCACTGCTACTCTGTGCTGGTCAGTCGCTTAGCGAGGAAGCAGCCATTCAAAGGTTTGTGCAGGACGACGGGACGGAGAGGACGAAAGAGAAATGAAAGAAGAAATAAAGAGACGCTCGAATCACGTCAGTTAGTCAATGAGTGGAAGTACACAACCAGTCACTCCGGTATATTGAACCACACTGACAGAGACAGAAAAGGTGTGATTTTAATCCGGTTAAATCAAACGGTTTTTAGACATCATGAAATATACTGAGGAAAAAAACCAAAAAGTTGTCTAACATGCGGTGTGCTTGGTTGTCAATATAAGGCCGGTTATAACCGACAAAAAAACCAAATGATAACCATAGTTTAGTTACAATAAAGGTTACGTGGTTACATAAGGAGCAAGGATAGACTGATAAGTGCTGATTAAAGTTTAGTGTGTTTCAAAACTTACATTCATTCATTCTTTATTTATTTATTGTGGGTCGGTTTACAAATACTGCTCAACATTTTATGTCACTTAAAAATGTCCTAATTTGGGGGGTTTTGTGTCTTTTTTTAATTAAAAAATGCTTTTTTTAATCAAAGACGTTGTAATTGTTGATTATGTTTATCACAGCTGATTAAGGTGGAGTCAGTGGAGTCTCTGGAGCATCAGACTTGTGCACTACTCTCTTTACAGAGGAGCACAATGTGGCTCATGTGGTACCATTTAATTATGCAGCCTTTTGACGTCATTAGTATTGTACGAGCTCTGCATTGCCACATATGTTTGTACATGTTTCAATAAATCGCTGCACCTTTTTCCCATATAAAGATATAAGACTTTAGCACAGCAACGTAGCTTTTTATGCATAGTCTTCATATAACATTATTTAACATGTATAAAATATAGCATTGGCGCTATTTTAGCCAGTCATTGCATTAAAAAATTATTTTCTTCCTTATAACCAATAAATATAATATACAAGGTGTTTTTGGGATACAAATACTGTTTGTCTCTCATATATCTCTTCATATAAAGTATGGGTAAAAAAAACCCTCCAGCTATCAGTCTACCCTTACCTGTAAGATTAACAGAGATAACGAAAGTGGCTTTGTTCTCTTTAACATTTTACCTTTTGGCTACACTTCTGTATGGTGAAGGTGAGTTCACTCACTACCATATCTATACACTTCAGTGTGGGCTCCTTCAGCTTTTGGATCTGCTTTTTCACTATGGCTTCAAAAGCCAGGTCGGGGGTGAATAGCCCCGTCCTGTAGAGATAGGTAGGCAGTACGAGAGAGAGAAAGGAGCAGGAAAGAAATAAAAACGATAGAAATAGGTGGGGAAAGAGGAAAATTAAAAGCATCGAATGAAGAGTTGTAAGTGGAGGTAGAAAGGAAATACAGTAAAAAGATGAGACCAATTTAAAAGAAAGCCGTGAGAACAGATGGTGAGGGAGAGGGGCAGTAAACAGATGAGGCAGGTGAAAATTGGAGATGAAGCAGGAGAACAGATTGAAGATGACAAAGACAAGAGTGGGGTGGGCGGGGGGGGGATAAACAGCACAGAAGGAAGAAAGTGCAAGTGAGACATTTGGTTTCCCCCTAAAGCCATCCTAAAACAGGACAGTGCTGGAGCCTCTCTCTATGAACAAAGAAGACGAGGAGGAGACTGAAAGAAATAGAAAGAGCTCCCAGCCTGCGTGACTCTGCCAGCCAAAAACTCCAAGCAACACACCACGAGACCGCAGCTGTGCACCCCAACCTCCAGCCAAAACAGCCTGATCTCCCCTGGTGTCGAACCCCTCTCCACCCAGCTCTCCTCTGACTTCCAGAGGGAGTCCGATCATGATATTTATCATCCCAGCGTTGTCGCGCTCTTGAACTTGTTTGGTTACAGCCGATCCGCGTGGATAAAGATTGCTGCTCTTTTCTTTGGCCCTGCTTTCTCTCATCTTTCGCTCAGAGTGCAGCCCCTGAGGCGTGAAGTTAAGCAGTAATTGTCATGGCTCCCGTCAGCTGCAGGTGCACGGCTGCAATCTCACACACGAGAAAGTTCGGATACTGAGGTCATCCAATACGCCTGCCAGGTATTCGAAATGAAAGACAGGATTTTATGTGTATGTGTTTGTCTAGCTTGCACTAGAAAAGGTGGAAAGGGTGTTGCCCTCGTGATGTTACCCATCAGTTTACTCCGAGCATCACTGAATGCTCTGATAGCTTTCTAAGGCAGACGTATTCTGATGATCGCTCAGCGTCCCCACTCTGTTTCTTCAGCACAACCATCTACCACAGCCAGCCTGTCCAGCCAAACCCTCCACGGTACTACAGTAAGGTAGGGCAGGCAGGCGTACAGCAGCCCACCCTGCCGCTCCAGGCGTCCCCTCGCTGTCCAAGAGCAGCGAGGGCTGGAGGGAGTCAGGTGGTTAGAGTGAAAGGGAGCGAACAGCAGAGGGACTGAAGAGGTGGAAAGCAAGGAAAAAAGTGCTAGCTTTTATTTTTTTTTACCTTCTTGGTACACTGCCTAACTGTATTGACTAGCTCAGAAATGACCATGTCCACACATTTGGTGCAAGGCTCTTTAATCTTCCCAATCTGCCTTTTCACAATGGTCTCAAAGGCCATGTCCGGGGTGAAGAGGCCAGTTCTGCCCGACACAGAGAGAAGCAGCCACAGGGCCGAAAGACGAGAGGAGGAGGAGGAGTTGGTGGAAAGAAAGAAAAGAGAAGGAATAAAGAGGGTTGGGTAGAGAGGAGAGTGTTAATTATAAAGATTTACCCTCCACTTCTGGCAAAAATTCAGCAAAAGACAAGAAAAGGCAAGGAACCGGGATGTGATCCTACACAGCAAATATTCAGTTATTGTTTTATTGTTTTAGACCAAAGAGGCCGTCGTGTCACTCACATTAGTCATATACCTTTTATAATCAAGCATCACAGCAAGTATTTTACATACAGGGCTTAACAAATGTAATAAAGCACCTGTCATAAAAGCAAAGACTTTTTAAAAAATAGTTTCAAACTAAAAACAATTTAACTAAAAGAACTGTAACTTGTCATCTTGATAAAAATAATAATTTTCTTTACTATTTTTTAGCTTTTTATAATAAAACAATCAATTTGAAAATTCAAGGATAACAACAATAATTTTACTATATAATTTCAATTAAAGAGCTTGTTTATATTGGTGGATTATACAGTAACCAGTACTGTTATTTAGGGCTGCTGTGGAATTAACCTTAAAGTTAGTGGTGGTTTAATAAAACTGTTAAGCAGTGTATGTGCAGTAATCCACATTTAAACAAATTGATTTTTTGTATTATCCTGTTTAGTCTACATGTTATCTTACTCTTTTTTTTATAAGTCTGTTTGTTGCACATAATTGTTGTGTTTTGCTCAGCTCTTGTTATTTTTAAAACATACTCAAACCAGAAGCATGATTTTCTTACACCAAAATGTGAAGAGCAACTCTTTTTTATCTTGCTTTTACATCCTGGTAAACATCTATCTGGTATTTTAAAGACACATACATGAACGAAGTAGAAACCAGAAGGGATAGAAATCCGAAATATTTTGGCACTAATGGAAATATATTAAATATGATTTCTTTGCACAGCTCATTTATGTTTATATTAATATTATAATTATATATATATATTATTATATATATATATATATATATTATATATATATATATATATATATATATAATATATATATATATATATATATATAAGCCCTTTTATCAGCATGAATGTGCAACCACATAAAAAACGAGGGTACCCAGCAGTCAGCAGCTGCGTCTGTTCCCAAACGACCCTGTGCTGTAGTATATTGTATAACCTTAGTGTGCAGCAGAGCCCTCAATTTGTGTTACTGCTGTCTTGGATTAGCAAGGAGGGTAGTTGCAGGTTAGATGTGACTGAGACAAAGAGATGGGAGGTGAAGCAGAGAAAGAAGAGAGGGAAGGGTGGAGGGTGAGCTGGAAGGCGGACGTGCCTGATGCCATGAATGTTCTTGATAGCGTAGCTGATTTCCTTGCGGAGTTCTTTCTCGTCAAACTCCATCTGAAAGGCAGACAGAGAAAGGAAGATGTTGTCAAACATGCACATGCAGACTTTGTATTCTCCCTAACTCAGCGCTCGCTTTCATGTCACTTTGTTGACTATTCCTGCAACATCTGTTTTTAATATATTTGTCCAAGTATCTCCATGATATTTACTGCGATGCCACATTCTCCCCTGCTTTTACTCAAAATTTAATATTTTCTCTGAAGCGTGCACCATAAGCAAATAAAACATAATGATGAATTGACTTCTAGCTACTCGCTGCGGCTTCTAATGTATCTGGCAGGCTTTGAGGGTTTTCTGTGTTTTGAGTAAGTTTTCTGGTTAGGAAGCAACCTGCTCTTTTTTTTTTTTTTACCTCAGGGGAAACCAACACTGCATTTTTATTTTATTTTTTTTGCAACTTGGTCACAGACAGTAAGTTTTATATCCTCAAAGGGAGGGTGAGAGAGGACAGGGAAGAAAAGCGGGGAAGAGAAAGGACGGGCATATTGTGAGAGAAAATGAACCAGACCAGAGGGAGCAAGCAAAGACCTCGAGGATTAATACAAGGTGGAAGGCGGACAGAGAAGGCAAGGGGAGGCAAAAAAAGTGGATGGAAATGGTGATGGGGTGAGAGAAACAGTGTGAGAGGTAAGGTGGGAGACGTCCGGGCGAAGAAGCTCAGGCACTTCCTTTTGGCGAGGAAAGCGGGACAATGAAGGGGAGAAATGTCATGATTTAAAGAGACTGAGAGAAACTTGACTTTAGGACCTTTTTTCTGTCGACAGTGTCTAAAATACAGAGTTATTACAAAGACAGTTCATCCAAAAACGAACTAGACTGTTTTGGAGTGAGCTGTCCATGTTTGGAGATCCAACTAAGAGCCACTTGCTTTTTGTTACATGGAGGGTTTTTTTTAGCAATGCATCTTTTGATAAATCATGACCCAGTGAGGAGACCTACTTTTCTTTCCCCCTAACAAACTTAATTTGCCGAACAAATGAAATATGCAGCTGACTAACATTACTGCTAATCCAAAGTTATTTATTTGATTTACAGACTTGAGCCACTCTTCATTTGTTTAGATTTAGCTTACAAGGAGATAGACTTTCTTGTATTTTTTTTAAGTAGTCTTGAGTTTTCCAGGCTTTCTGAAGGTCTTCCACAGTTTTTCTTTGGTTGCTTTTTCAGTCCAGTCCTGACCCAGTCCCAGGGCCATTTTCAGAAGAATGTTTTTTGTTTGTTGAGCTGCTTAACACTGACCTATGAATCATTCAAGCACACATAATTAGTTCCCATGTCTAAAAACTTGTCATATCTCAGCATTGTGTGCAGTGTGGCTTAAAAAAATATGAGGGAACTGGACAAGTGGAGTCTATCAGCTGATGAACAGAATCTAAAAGTCACATCCTTAAGAAATAGGGGGGAAAAAATCAAGTGAAGACATGACACAGGATGGCGAGGACCTACAGCCATCTCTAAAACACAGAAGAGACTCTGAACCTGCTGTAGTTGCATTTATGCCATCAATTTGATTCTGGTCAAAACTGATCGAATTATAAATGCAGGAAAGTAAAGTCAGATTTTGATTGAGTGGCTAATTTTTCAGCATGACAATGATCCAAAACACACTGCCAATACAGTAAAAGCATACCTGGATAGAAAAACACACAATGAAACACTGTCAGCCATGGATTGGGCTCCCAGAGCCTGGACCATAACATTATTGAAGCAGTGTAGGATCAACATCCACAGAGCTTTTAATGTCCTTCAAGAAGCCTGAGTATGAATCCTGAATACTATAAGAAATTATAAGAACTCTTACCTTCATTTCCGATTGTTTTTAGATCATAAAGGTGATCATACCAAATATTGAATTTCTAATATGATCATTAGAATTGGAGAAATTCCCTTGTTTTGCCTTATATACTGTATTTCTATGTATGTTTGCCCATGTTTTAAAACAAAGCCCTGAACCTATTTCCCTTTTTCCTAGCATCACACACACACAAAAAGAGGTGTGGCTCAAGACTTTTGAACAGCACTGGATTTACACTGTACAATAACAAGTACAATATAATCGAAAGGTTTCTAAGACACCAAACTGCCATATAAACCCTTCGCATAACTTCCTGACATCTCAAAACCGACACACACCTTGACCAGTTCAAAGGGGAAGCGTTCATGGAAGATGCGATTGATCCTGGCACCACCCGACAGCTCGGCCGTGTCGATCTGGTCCCCAGAGCCCTCTATGCATTTTTCAAAATCCACCGAGAACTGCTGCACCATCCTACAGGAAAAGGTGCAGATATTAACATTTCTGTGTGTGTGTGTGTGTGTGTGTGTGCGTGTGCGCTTTGTCTCACTGCAGGAGAGCCTTGGTTTTGCGAGACGGATCATCAGGTCTGAAGTTCTTGTACTCCTCCACCTCCTTTTCGATGGACAGAAGCTGACTCTGCAGCTTGGCCCGCAGATTCGGCAGGGTGTCCCGGATGTGGTTGGTCAGTTGCTGTGCAGGTCAAAGGTCAGAATATCAGAATAAGGTCACTAGAAAACTGAAATAGTGTTTTGGGAAAACATAGGAATGGGCTCACTACATTCACATGTTTACACACCTGATTGAGGACTTTCTGGAGGTAGGGAGTTCCCATGCGGTCAGCCAGGTGTCTGTATGCCGGGTGGGAGAGAAAGAACTTCCTCTCGGCAGCCATTGCAGCATTAATGTCCTTCTTTCCATCTATGTCCTTCTGGCTTCTATTCACCACACCAATGTAACCTGGACAAGCAGACAGAGAGCTCCACACTCACAGTAAACCCTAAAACACTGACAGATTTAGAGAAAACCATCCAACTCCTTTGATCGTTTCCTGACAGACTTGAAACGGGTATTGTAATTTGTCTGGAAGATAATACAGACTTGTGTTAGAGCAACACTGAACTTTTCTGGGTTTTTATTTTCTACCCATGACCTCAGGTCTGAACAGCCCCTCCAAGGACCCAACTGTTTCACATGTGTTTAATAATGTTAAACCACATTTTAAGAGACCTCAAACCTCAACTTAAAAGAATATAGACAGGAGAAGAGAAAAGGGGGAAGAGGGATTTGCATAAAACCAGAAAGAGAGAAAGAATTCCTGGATGCGTTTCTTCTTTTAAGGCGTAGAGAGACAAAAAAAAAAAAAAGAAGTGCGGCGAAATAACCAGGAGAGGTTAGGTCAAAAGGATCCTGTTTCACCTCCAGTTAAGCTTCCTCATGCATCACTCAGTTAAAAGCTGTTTCATGCTCTATAACTAAGGCAACTGTGAGCCAGCAGCCTTGTAAATGTGCATATCCACAGCGTTAGAGAGACGGGGAGAAAAAGAAGGGAGAGGGGGGAAAAGTATAGAAAAAACAAAGGAAATGGAAAATATTCCAAAGCACATGCCTGGGTTTTAACCAAGTGCAAATGGAAAAGAAAAGCACCACATCAGCACATTGCAATAAAGGGCAGCTCACAAATTACATGCGAGTTATTTTCCAAGACAGTGTTTTTGCTTTTGTCTCTTTGCCCCTTCCCCTGCTTTTCCTTCCAGCTCTTCCTCTCTTTCACCCCTTTGTCTGTCTTTTGATTTCTTACACGCTCTCCCACATCCCTTGGCCCTGTTTCTGTTCTTCGTTGCAGATGTTGGAAGCACTGAAAAGCTCTGAGTTACCACAAGGGGGAAACAGTGCGTCGTTGCGACCAACCTGAAGGAGACAGAAAAGGTGCTACTTTTTGTGTGAGCGTGCTGTCGAGGTATTACGCACCTCTCCTGAGTGGAAGCAGCTTATTCTCCAGGATGTCTTTAGCATCGGTCCCCTCATCCATCAGGTCCAGCTTGGTGATCACACCGATGGTCCTTAAACCTGACCCAGTCACGCAAATTTACCAACAGTATTTCATTATGTGCATCTGTATAAAAATAACTAGGATGATACAAAGAGCAATTATAAATGAAACATCATTTCAAAGACTTATAAAACTCCTATTAGCTTCTTTACATGTGTGTAAACTCACCCTGAGGGTCGACCTCTTTGGCAATCTTTAAAGCGTCGGAGTTGGCCAGGTCAGAGTTGGCCGGGGAGACGGCCAGCATCAGACAGTTCTCCTTGGTGACAAACTGCATTAACATGTCTCTTATCTGAAATTCAATGTCAGCAGGCTGGTCGCCCACCGGCACCTTGGTCATCCCCGGCAGGTCCACAAGTGTCAGGTTCAGCACTGTGAGGGTAAAAAAGAAAAGAAAGAAGAGAAAACACAAAGCCAATTCAAAACTAAACTTATTGATGCTCTACACACAGATTAAATCTTCAGTGTGTGCGGAATAAAACTGCGTCAGCCTCACCGTGCGGAGAGTAAACACGCAGGTTGATGGGCACAGGGGAGATTCCCTTGTTGGCTCCAGTCGCGCGATCCGTCTCCGCCTCGATCTCCTGCCGGACTTCATCAAAATCTGTAAACTTTTTACCCTTACAGTGCAGGAACTCGGCGAATTCTGGAAGAAACGGCAAAAAAGTGAGACACAAATGAAAGTAATGTGACAGAATATCAGAAGATCCAGTGAGGTGGACAGCAAAGACGGTAAACAGAGAGTTGAATCAAACCCTTTTAACATGATTTTTGTTCATGGGAAATTAAAGGTTTTGAATGTCGATCATAGTGAACGACGCTCAGCTGCAAAGCGATGTGTCCTTGGATGAGACTTAAGACAGATAAAAACTGTTAGATAACTCAGTTAGAGCTTGATTCATGAAGTAACAGTTGCTGTGACCACGTATTGATTTTAGATTAACGCAAAGTAATTTATGATTCGCACCATGATTACGCTGTGAGAAAACACTCTCTGCTAGATCCTGAATCAATGTAACAACGTGTAACTATGGTAACGGGAGGATGATGTCATCGCAAGTCTATAGAGATGAATGGCAAATGTGCACGGATGGTTTTCCTCTGAGGATAGGGGGACTTATTAGACTCCAGGAGGAGCCAGGGTTGGGTGGGTGATGGGAGAGTGGGTTAAAAGCTGTCTACTTTCCCAAGTGTTGTGTCTTTCCAGGAAGGCTCAGCAACAAATAATAAAATGACAGGGGATGTTATAACAGCTACATTTCAAACAAATAAAAATAAATAAATAAATAAAGGCCAAGAACGTGATGAGAGGAGACGGAAGGTTTGGCCAAGAATGAAGCTCCTGTGTCTGAAGAGAATGAAGAGGGATGTGGATGTGGCAGCCTTTGGAATAGAAGTAAAATATTAAAGGCAGCTGGACTCTCTGTTGACACAAAGATGTAAATCTGTGAAGTGAACTAAGATGCAGTTCATTCAACTACATGCTGACTTTAGGAAATCGAGACGCACTTAAAAGGACAGAAGTAAGTGAAAACCTTCCTTTTAGTCTTAAATGAAATAGACTGTGCCAGATGACAGACTTTGACACATTTGTAAAATACTTGTCTTTTCTTGTTTTTATGACAGGTCATGTAATAAATTCATTAAACACTGTATTATGTTTATACCTTTTACTTATTTCAAAGCATTAGACACAAGAAAACTACTGCAATCACCGTTACAGTAGCTCTCCGGCTTTTTCAGCGTCACTGGTTAATAAGAATAAATAGACTCAAATCAGCCATCTTTACCACATGTATTCAGAGTGAGGCACAGTTCCCAATAAAATGTCAAGACAGATTTCAAGATGTCAAGATTTCTGTACAAATAGAACAGCTGTCTGATCAGCTGTAGATATCAAATATGATTAGCCAGTCAGTGAAGCAGTCAAGATAAACCATTATGCAATTTCAAAGGAATTTGGTGAGCTTTACCGGTGGGCGAGTTCATCAGCTGCAGGACCAGAGGACGGCGGGTCACAATGCCAGAGCCACGGGGAAGAAAATCCCTGCAACACAACAGATGGATGGCAGAGATGATGGTCAGTGAAAGCAACCACAATGCTGCAGGGCTACAATAACAAAGTACAGTTACTGTGCCATCCTCATAATTTACTCCAAATATAAAAAGCAAAGAAATCCATTCAGAAAAATGAAAGGTTGTGTCATCAACGATGTGACAGCAGCAGGAGAAAAGAACAGAGAAGAGTCAGTGAATGAAAATAACGAGGCCACCAGGCCACTTAGCTGTTTTCTACAGGGATCAGTTTTGGGAGTGCATTCAATACAGCAGGAAATAAGTAATAAAATAGCAACAAAATACAGGTCAGTTGATCCATCACTGATACATGTTGACTTATGTCTCAAATTAAAAACTCTTTCATTACCAGTTAGACCCTGTTCTAACTTTTAAATTAGTCGTATGAAATAAACGAAAATAGATTCAAACTGACATCTTCATGTTCCTCGTTTTGCCCTACAGCAGGTCACTAAACCTGAGAGACAGCAAATCGTCATGTTGAATAAAATGAAGTAATTTAAATTCAATTCAATTCATTCAGTTTACAGCTTGTAAGAACAGTCTTCGGAATGTGATGGCAATGAGCAGCGAGCAGGTATTAAGTGAAAATCGAGTCAAATCAAGTTTCTTTGCTTTTAATAAAACAGCTGCATAATGTGAGAAAGAATATGCTAACTGGAGTGTGCACGCGCTCATTAGCTGTGATTAGTGGCCCTTGTATAGTCCAAAGATGACTGCCTCGAGTGTGATGACCAAACCCTAAATAAGGAGCGAAGACGGCTGGTTCGTTTATGTTTATGCCATACTACAGCCACAGACAGAAAAATAGCTCATTGGCTAATGCCTTTTGATTGACAAGTTGTGAACAAGCAGACGTCCTGGGTTTTTTTTTACCACATGTGATCGTCCATTCTGAAACAAGGTATGATCAAGATTTACAAAACAGATTTAATGTTTTATTCAGTATGACCCCAAATGAGTGAGTGACTCCATAAAGTCTGCAGCAAGTTGTTTACAGAGGTTAAGACAGAGTCATTTTCCCATAGATCTCTATAGGATGGGAAGACTTTTTATTGCAACCACAGCTATTGCCATCTGGTGGCTTACAGACAGATTGCAGGTTTCCAAGAGTTGGATTACTATTCTGACCAATATTTAACAGTTGCCACTCACCACTTTATGATTCGTTGAATAGGCAGTGCCTTCATGGAACCGTTTAGAGTTTAGTTTTGTGTGTTTTGACGCTTTTAATTTTTTAAAGAATCAGTATATTTTAACCAAAAGGCAAGGCAAGATTATTTGTATAGCACAATTCAACAACAAGGTGATTCAAAGTGCTTTACAGAGACATTAGAAACAAAAACAAATAAAAAGCAAAAACCACCAAAACATGACTAATGAACATCACAGCTAAATCATGTGAAGGGTGACAAATTAAGAATGAAACAGGTGTTTGATATGCTTATTTCTGCTGCTTATTTCTGATTATTGAATTGAGGTATTAACTGTATGTGTCCATGCAAATGAATGTGTTCTGCATACAGCTACTGACACTGATTGTGTGTGTCTGAGCTGTAAAGCAGCTCATCCAGATGCCTGCCTGTCGGACAGCTATGCTTTCCATTGCACAATATCTCTTTTTTCCCGGAGCTATTCAGATGCAGCATCAGCGTCAGCTCACCTCTTACACCCTGTGCCCCTCAGCTGATGTGACACCAATTTCTCAGCGACGCAAGGTTTTCCAGTTTTCTCTCCAACAGTTTCAAGTGAACCTTACTTGCAGTCACCTCAGCTTAATGACAGAAATGCAATCAAGCTACAAAACGTTTTCAATTTGCACAATGCAAAGACAAACTGTTCAGTATCTGATGAGAGAGCTCAACACTGGGAAACTGAATGTAACATTCATAAGAAATAGATGAGGTCTCTGTTTGAACCTGAGGCAAAGCCTGAGGCAGCTCGGAGTCATGAGATGAGAGTTAATCAGGTCTGAGCTGTGTTCTCTGACGAATTCACCGATCTGATGTGAAAGTTGGTGAGCACAGTGGGAAGTCTGTCAAAAAGCACATAAGGATGTTACACTGAGATATCATTAGTCTGATCTGTCTGTGCTTAAACTGCTGTAAGTATCTGCCTACCAGCACCTTTAAGCTCAATAATGAACATTTCCCTGTTAATTGTTCTTCTTGTTCTCTTCTTATGACTTGGAACTGGCCAAGAAGCAGTCTGCTACACAACAGCATAATACTATAAGAGAACAAGCAAGAAATTGGTAGTAAGATACTCTCAAATTGATCCAAAAACTAAAAAAAACCCAGATAATACAGGATTTCTAACTTGAAGAAAGTGTCCCTTTCTGAAAGACTGAACCGTGTGATATAATCTCATAAATCCTAAAACTGCAGGTTGCTGAGTTGTGCAGATATTAATCCAGCACATCTCTTACACCACGATCAGCAAGCTTTGACTATCAACGACTATCAACAAAGACGTGTGAAATCTGTTTGCTTATTAGCAACAGCTGCTACTCTGAACCCAGCAGCAGCAGAGCGCTTTATTCTGAGCGCTGTTTCAGAGCCAGCGCTGTTCTGTTGGTGCCTGTAGAACAAAGCAAACCAGATCTCTCATCATCCACTGTTTGTGTGTCTGTCCTTTCTTCTACCTGCCCAGCAGACAGATGGTCTTGACTGCGGGTCTTCCTCTCGCTCCACTCCCAAACACCCATATTTCCTCTGCATTGCCAAGGAAACGGTCATATCCCTGAAAACACCATCAACATCCTCATTTCTTAATTGCTCATCACCTAATGTCTTCTTCAGACAGGATGCCAGCCCCACCTACCCCCAACCCTCCTCAGATCCATCCCCCACAGTGAGGTGAGGGACTGGAAACAGTCATGGTTGTGTGACTGCCAGATGTTCTGAAATAATCACCACAGCACACTTTTTAAAAAAAGAAAAATGAACAAACAAAGCTGACACAAGATGATTTGTTTTAACGACACAAAGAGACATACAGAGAAACACGCTGTCTGTATTTAGGTACATTAAATATCTTCTGCAAGCACTCATGCACAGTGTAAGTGCACTGAGCACTTTGAGTCCTAACCATTGTATCTGGGAAATACATTATTGGTAATATTCTTCATTTGCATAGATTGATGAATGGACCTGTCGAACAATCCGTGTGAGCAGTAGGCAGCAGGAAGACATACACCCTTACAATCATGTAAAGAAAGAAAGTACACCCTCATTCGACTCTAAGGTTTCTTGTATCAGGACATAATAAGAAAATCACCCGGTCCTTAGCAGGTTCTAAGATTACTTCAATAGAACCTGAACTGAACAACAACATATGCAATAAAAACACTGTGTCATTATCTAGTTAACAGAATCCAAGCCAAAACAAAGAAGCATTCCTGTGAAAAACTACATAGACACAATGATTCAAAAGCTTGCAGAACCATCTTTTCTTTATCACTTTATCAGTCTCTCACATTGTTGTGCAGGAAGTTTGGCCATTGCAAATACTTGATTCTTTTCTCCTTTTTTAGCCATTCTGTTGGAGATTTTCTTGCTTGCTTGGGATCATCGTCCAGTTTCATCACCCAAGTTCAGCGTAGCTTTAGCTCTCAGACAGACGGCCTCACATCTGACCCTAAAATACTTTTGTAAAGCCAGGAGTTCATGGTCAATCCAGTGACTGCAAGGTGACAGTCCTGTGATCATCATCATCATGTCTCCACTGTGTTTGACAGCTTGTATGAAGTGGTTGTGCTGATGTGCTGTGTTTGCTTTTTGCCAAACACAGTACTGTGCATTACAACTCCAAAGCTCTGCATTATGACCAAACATCTCCCCTCACAGGAGTCTTCTGGATTTTTCAGATGCAACGTTGCAAATCTAAGCTGTGCAGCCATGTTCTTCTTAAAGATAAGAGGATTTTTCCTTCCTTCCAAACAAAACTTGTTCACTTTTTTCTAATTGTACTTTTATGTACTTTAAGATTTAACTTGCTAACTGAGGCCTGAAGATCCTGAGAAGTCGCTGTTAGGGTGTTTACAGTTTCACGCTGACCTTGGAGGACATCCACTCCTGGAAGGACTGACAGCTGTCTTGAATGTTTTCCATTTGAATAATCCTTCTTGCTGTAGAATGATGGACATAAATTTGTTTGGAAATAGCCTTTTAACCATTCCGAGAATGATGGGCAGCAACGGCTGCTAATCATGTACATTTAATTATCAGCACCTAGCTGCTGTTTACCTTTTTAAATGAGCGAATAAACAAAGAATTAAATAATATGTCAGTATTTTTATTCATCAGATGGTTTTTATTATGACCCGATATGTCAAACATTGGACTTGAAAGAAGCCGTGCTTTCTTATTAAATGACTGTATATGAAACTAATGTGTCGTGTTGGATGCATATGGCCATATGGCACTCACCCTTAATTGTTTCGTCAAGTGACTTTATGAAAAACACAAAATTAGCCCCCAGTATGTAGTGCTCTGCAGCAGTTCTAAATCTGCATTTCCCTCAGTCTCTATGTAGATATACTGTGTATATATTGCAGGATACCATAAAACCATCAAAACTAATCAGTTGTGAGCACAGTGAAAAGAGGAGGAAGGTGCTTGAGCATGTGTGAAGCATGTGTGTCCCCTGCAGCTGCAGCAACGCAAAGCAGATTAAACAAACTAATGTATTTTTAGGTTCCAAAACACTCAAAGAAAAGAACCTGATAGATTTGACTTTTGGAGGCACTCGGGCTAAGCCTCCATCACTTGATGTTGTGCACAAACACACAAAAACACGCCTACGCAGCTATTAAGCGCCAGCTGCTGTGGAGTAGTGACTCACTGCTTTTTGTAATAAAGTCTACCCTCTCAGTGGTGTACAAATAAATGCCAGGACGAGTGCACACATGCACACAGACTGTCTTATTCCCTCGTGTAGACCTGACTGTTTTAATCAGTACAAAGAGCT